CCTGTGTCTTTGTTATACACTCGGAACAAAGTGCACACGAGCAACTGGGCACAGACGCTTGCACTCATTTTTAAACCTACAAGTGGCAAAGGTGTTGTAGGACAGCTGGAAAGTGTTTAATTTTTATATTTTGAGTAGGCTAAAGGCAATCATGCAGGGCTTCTGGGAGCAATCTAGAATGATTTTTGTCCCAGAGGGCCTCGGTCCATTGGGTCTTGTTGGTCTCCAGGTCTCCGTATGTCTCCTGTGCCCGGGTGCGAAACGGGGCGTTAAGCGCTCGGGTGGAATGAATACCTGTACACACTGTGGCGCTCCAAAATGTGGGTTGTGTACGCCAGCAATACATAGAACTCTTTTATCTCCCTTTATAGTGTGGGACTAGAACCCATGAAGCAGTGAAGAAAGTCCAACACGTTTTGAAAACTGTAGCACAGTCTCCATGCAAGCTTGGCACTAGTGTTCCCTGTGCGAGGGAGAAGAGTAATGATTTGAGAGGGGCTGTGTGGCCTCGGTATGTGAGCTTGGCTGTGCCACGTTCACCGTGCCCAGACCAAGTGTTCCTTCATCCTCCAGGGTGAGCTTGCCCTGTTCTCTGGCTTCTTCCAGTGTTTGTGAGCTCGTTCACCTTGGGCACCGTCAAAGAGTTGCCTTATGTTGAGTCCAAAGATGTGATGGGACAGCTCTCCTGACGGGAGAGGGTGGTGCCCCTGCTCTTGTTCACGGTCCTGGGTACCAACAGTCCTGTAGGGTCTGCAGGGAACCAGGGGTCCAGCACATCTTAACTGGATTCCACTGCAGTTTTTCCCCTTAAGTGCTCCTTCAATATAAAGATGTTGCAAAGGGCTGCGCTAAGATCAGTAGGCCAGTGAGCTGCAACAACATCCTTATTTAGTAATATATACATACAATATATACATATTTAAGGCATTTCTGGTGCAACCAGGTCTTGGATGTGAGGATAGCTCCTCTGGACTAATATGGGATTGCCTGTCTTGCAATTGGGGTGTCATCACAGGAGCATTAGGGGATCCTCGAGGGCGGATGTCTGCTTGCAGGGGTGTTGAGCTTCAGGGGAAAAGGTGTCCACAGAGAGCTGGGAAATTGCGGTGTGAAAAAAAAATCCTGCTGGCCACCAAAAACGTGGTA